CTCTCAGGTATTAAATGGTATTCTGATAAAAAAAAATAACTAGGAAGGAACATGCTCCCTTCGTGGAAGCTGACAAATGAAGTTTCAGCCCTGAAGTACAGAGAACTGCTTCTCAGCAATCTTTTGGCTTCTGCTGTCACCCTGTCTCCCCGGCTCTAGCCCCTAAACACTGTTAGCATTTGGGACATGGACGTCAAACATGAGTTCTTCTAGGATCTCTGTCTTTTTGTTTGTTTTAATACATGCACAAGCATATATAAATATACAATAAACGCTAGCTAATGTCATAAACCAAGATGTGAACCTGAATGTTTCTTTCTGGGAAATGAGTATTTCCTTTATTTGTTTACTGTATTTTCTATAGTTATTGTTTTTAATTAGGAAAGGATTTTTTTAAAGAGAGAAATGTTCAGACGATTTTTCTTTCTCTTTTTCTTTTTCTTTTTTGAGGGTAGGCAGTCTTACTATGTAGCCCAGGCTGGCCTCGAATGCTTAATCCTTCAGCCTCAACCTCCTGAGTGCTGGGATTACAGGTGTGCATTCAGATTATTTCTTAAGAAGCAAAATTATTGATTATCTTCTATGTCCATCATGTTATATTAAGAATGATTGAATAGGGTTCAAAGAAAGAAAAGTTACAGTATCTTGAATGTTTTGAGCTCAGCTTGGAACCACGAAATGCAAAAATGTGAAAGAAAAGCATATTAAGTAAAATGACAAAAATGAAACATTAAATGTTCAAAGTGCAGTGGAAAAGTGATACTAGGCTAGATGCTGGAGATCAGCTCAGGCATGATAAGAAAAATAGCTTAGAGTTGTTTGAGTGTTGATACAGAAACATTCCTCTCACAGCTTCATTCATTGCACAAATCTTTATCATACAGCTTCTACTTTCTGGTCACATGATGGCTTTTGGACACATAATAGTGAATAAGGCATCCTCCCTAACCTTCTCAGCACTTGAGTTTGAAGGGTTCTTTCACTGTTTCATCTAAAAAGGAGCAATTTAAACAAGTACCTAGGTAGAAGGGTATAGCTAGTTTGGAGCCAGGCCTGTGAACTTAATTTGCAGTATTCAAGACTTCTCCAGATTGTATGTTTTTGCATATGTCTGGCAAATGTGGTGAATACTTGTTGAACTAAAGGGCTATTGTGAAGATTCTGAGAAAGTCAACAAAGTACAATCCGTATCCTCTTTACTATCATTATTTCCAGTGATCGGAAGGTAGAGGATAAAATTACGACTTTAACCACCTATTCATGGCAAAGTGTAGTAGATAGTAGCCACCTTCTTAAAATGCTTTGCATTATCCCTGGATTTAGGGGTAGATAGATCAGGATCAGAATGACTGCTATGAAATCAGTAGTGGATGACCTCACACCAGAAGTCAGTTCTCCTGAGGCCTGTCCTTTTTTCTGAATACAATACACTTTATTGATTTCAGCAGTTGCCTTTTCTTTGAATTGAGATTTTCTGTCATGAAAATAATACTTAATTGTAACCACTAAAAGGGACTGGCTTCATAAATAATACAATAATAACTGGTAATACTTTGGCCTTTAAAATATCAAAAGCTCACATGACTTTTTTTAGTTCAGCTTGTATCATTTTGCTCCATCAGTGCAGTGTATAATTCAGAAGTTAATCTTTATAGTATCAAGTCATCTGTTGTAAAGGTCTGAAATGGAGTATATTATAGGTATTCTAGTGTCCAGTAAAAAGAGTAAAAGAAGTCACAATCTGAGCACTGATGGATTGATTGCATCTGTAATCCTAGCTACTTGGGAGGCTGAGATCAGGAGGATCACTGTTCAAGGCCAGGCCAGCCAAAAGTTTGAGAGACCCCCATCTCCAAAATAACCAGAGCAAAATGAACTGGACATGTGGTTCAAGCGGTAGAGCACTTGCTTTGCAAGCATTAAGCCCTGAGTTCAAACCCTGTAGTCCCACAAAAACAGAAAGGAAAAATCACATGTTTAGACAATTTTATCCTTTCAAGAATGTATAACCAAACAGAAATCTAAGTTTGTGTTATTTCGTAGGTCTTTATTGTCAACATTTCCTGCAGCAAATATGCTCCAAAGCTTTTTGAAGAATCACCTGCCAAATGATCTGTCAATTGCATTGTTTTGTGTGGTTGCTCACTTTGATCTAGGCAGTCTGGAAGCATCAAGAGCTCTCGTGGTTCATAAGCTACTATTTGCAGTACTCTCAAATTGGTCATATGGAGAACGACATAAAGGAGGTTTTAGGGTTCTTTAGAGTATAGTTTAAAGGCTGGGGAGTGGCTCCATCAGTGATGAGAACTAATTCAGCCACGCTGTTTTGCTCTTCAGGCCCTGTCACACAGAAAATTCTAAGTCTGGGTGGTTTTTTAGTGGACTTTCACAGTATCTAACTGGAATCCTTTGTCTTTGACAAGTTAGCTGTTTGCTGCAAATTGAGCTTTTGAATTTTGTCCTCCTTATTTGAAAAATATGTAAATGATGTTAACAAAGGGCTCACAGAGAAACAGCTTGACTGACTTCTGGGAAATGAGTAAGCAATAGGGCTATTTTTAGCTTTTACTCCTTGCAAACATTTCCTTTTGTTATTTAGAAGACATTGTTAATTTGTTCATTCATTGGCTGTTCTCTTCCCCCAGCCACCCACTACAGCCCAGCTTTCCAGTAGAATAGCCCTCTTTTTCCTCCGTGACATAACGTGCTGACTCTTACTTTATCCAGTTTTAGCTCTAACTCATGAGTCATTCGTGTGTTCGTATTTTTTCTAGACACTGAACATTACCCCCAACACACACACACATGGTTATTTGGGGTTGATTTCCCCCCTCATTGCAAAGACTGAGAAATCTCACATGAGCAGGATAGATAAGGTTAGATTTTTGTTGTGTTGTTTGGTGGTAGCTGACGATGTGTTTTTTGCCTTTATCTGCCCTTTTAGTACCTATTAAAGCCATAATTTATAAAACTAGGCAGTTAGTAATATAGAATTTTACATTCTGCACAGCCTGGCCTTTACACTGTAGCCTCATATTCGATCTTTGGAAAAATCTTCCAGTGTTAGGAGGAAGTCCAATTTCTCAGGAAGTACACTAAAACCTCACTTCACATCAAGGGGAAGTTTGATGAAAGACCTTTCTATTTTGGATCTCTTTCAAGACGATTTAGTCATTTTGAAATAAAGATACAGATGTGCAGTAGCATTTATGGTGAAGATTATAGGTTATGAGGTCAGACCGCCTAGTAGCAAATCCTCATTCTGCCACTAATCTCTGTATGCCTCAGTTTCCTTATCTCAGAAGCAGAAATAATAGTACTTACATCATACAATGCTTTTGGGATTTGACTCAGGTAATTCCTGTAATTAACCGGCCCTAATGCCTGACATAGTAAAGTCTCAGTGGATGCGACTGTTTTGATTATTGAGTTGGATAATTTTATCTACGGTGAAGGACTAAGATTCGCATATTATGCAACAGAATGGAGCAAGATATTCCATTCCTGGGACCTTTGCCTCTTTCGCTGTAAGAATTTTTTGTTGGGAGGTCCTCAACAGAGGTGGCCTGATTCCAGTGCCTAGTGAGTTTAGTCTCCCTTAGCCCCCCAGTGTTTGCAGCTCTTCGTATCTGGAATCAGTGCAGTTATAATGAGAAGTCAAGCAAAACATGTTTTTGCATAAGGAGAGGAAGGCAGAATGTGTGGTGGCGTTTTGACATCTGTGCCTCTGCCCTGGGCCAAAAGCAGAATGGTTTTTTGCTGCTGATTTGGCCATCCCATCTGCTGCCCCTCCGAGGTGAGGTTCCGCTTCCCTCTCCCTCCTCGCAGAGCCCCGAGGCTGATGAAGGCTGCATTGTGAGGCATCTGAAGAAAAAACAGGACAGAGGTTCAGGGAGAAGACAGCAGAGTGATCACTCCCCTCTACAGAGGACCCAGCCGCGGCAGTGACAGTTTTGCAAGTGTTCTGAGGATGGTGAGAATGGTAAAACACTAGCCTGAAAAAAGCCAAAAACAATAAAAATCACTAGTCTGTTCCAGGAAATCTCCGTCTTTCTGCTTGAGAGCTTTTCTAACATCTGACTCTCAAGAATTTACCAAACTTGGCTTTTTTAGAACTCTCTTAAACTTTCTTTTTAAGCCCTTAGCCCAGGCCCTCAGAATAAGTTCTTCCTTTTTACCACGGGTGCTTACACTTTCAAATGCACCCCTTGTTTCTCTTCTGCTATAGCATTTAACTCAACTCCTGTAATGCTAACTCACAGGCTTACCTCCCTTGTTTCAAGGTTCCATCTACTCCAGTGAGAGGTCCACCTCAGGCTTTCCACAGTGTGGTGACCTCAGCACCACTCACTTAAATTTCAGAACACAAAACCTTACACGCACACAAAGGGTGTCAGTGTGAAACGTTGTGACTTAACTCTTTAATTGATTTGAACTTGAGTAGTTAAGCAATAGAGGATGATGCCCCAGAAAGGCATGCATTGAGTAAACCAGAGTACATTCCAGTAAACTGGAAGGAGGAGCTGGGGAGAAATTGCTCTTTGTTTTCAGTGGATTTTTTTCTTTTTTTTTGCTTTGCTGGAGATTGAACCCAGGGTCTTAAACATGTATGTTAGTCAAGTGCATCGACCACTGAGCTAGCTGTATCCTCAGCCCTAAAGGAAAATTCTTTTAAAAACATTTTTACTTTCAAATCTTAAAGCTTGTTTTTAGTGTAGACTGATTTTTTTTTTTTTTTGCAGTTGGGATTTCCTGATAATTATTTCAGGTTTGTCTATAATTCAAAAGAATGAAATAGACTTTCATATGGAGTAATTTGGAAGTTGTTTTTCATGTAATTTGGCTGCTGGGTTTTATTTTCAGTTAAACTTGAATTACATCTCATTCAAAAAAACATTTGGTTCTGATTCCGCCTTAAGTTTTGGTCAGTCTTAATTATAATTTGTCACATATTTAGCTTCCATTCAGTGCTTTTAAAAATACCTCTCTTTGCTTCCTAGACTGACTTTGCACGGTTTAGTGGAACAAATGTGGAAACTGACTTTGTAGAGGTGCCATCACAAATGCTCGAAAACTGGGTGTGGGACATTGATTCCCTCCGAAGGTTATCAAAACATTATAAAGATGGAAGTCCCATTACAGACGAGCTGCTTGAAAAGCTGGTTGCTTCTAGACTGGTCAACACAGGTACGACTTGTAATTTTAGAAAAGGAAAATAAATGAGAATTGCTTGATGTAGCATTGCTGGCTTCTTCAACGGACCTCTCTTTTATATTAATGTATCCCAAAAGTGCTAATATGTGGATTGGTGGTTCCTGGGATCATATCTGAGAAATAACAAGATTTTTTAAGTAGCCTATAGAAAGAGATGTCACGCTCCCCATTTTGTGATGAGTGCTACTGGGATCAGTTTTTGAAATCTGTGATCTTGTGATGTCAGAACACATAGTTCTCTCTTCTTCAAAACGTGCTCACACATTCTTACCTCTTTAGGTCTTCTGACCCTACGCCAGATTGTGTTGAGCAAAGTTGATCAATCTCTCCATACCAACACATCGCTTGACGCCGCAAGTGAATATGCTAAATACTGCACAGAAATTTTAGGTGTTGCAGCTACTCCAGGTACGTAAAGACTGCTTTGGGTTCGTTGTTCCTGACACCACAGGGGAGGTGGGGCAGAGTGAACCCACCCTAATTTCATTTCTTTCTGACTTCTGTAATCGCACCATGACTTTCAGATAAGCATACTATGTCCTTATGAGTTATCCTGTCCAAATGTGCTTGAGGGGAAGGTGGCTCCAGACTGAAGGCATTTTAGTGTAATCAGGCATGAGCAATTGGCCTCCACCCCAGAGTCCAGAGAGCCATAAACATTTGGCAGCACCCTTCCGACTCCTCCCTCCCCCTATGCACTGTGACTTCCCTGCGATTTTCAGTAAGAAATTGACAGAAAGGGCATGTTTATTCTCCTTTGCGTCTGCTTCTGCTTCTGTTTCTGAGATCTGGTTAAGCATTGAACTGGCAGTTGCTAGCCTAAAACTTAGGGGGTTATTAGCATCGTGTTACAGCATAACTTCTATGTATGTATTTTAAGCCAATATATAGATGTACATTTATATGTAGTTGATAAAGTGAACCATCTTCACCAAGGAAATTGATGTTACCATGAATCAGCCATGTTTATAGACATAATAAAGATAAGAATAGTCACTTGAGTCATGCTAGCCTCTTTACTTCCTTTGGCAATCTGTTTATAGTAAAATATGGCTTGGTAAATGTTTTTTTGCTTTATCTTTCTTTCTTTTTCCTGAGGTTCTGGGTTTGAACTCTAGCTTTGCACTTGCCAGGCAGGTGCTCTACCACTTGAGCCACACCCCAGCCTCTTTTTCACTTTTCAGGTAGTCTTTTTCAGAAATTATCAGCTTAAAACAAGTGCCATTTTCTTCTGAGGCATTTTAAATATTAAAAAGTGTGGCAAAAGGCCAAGATGTAGCTCAGTGGTAGAGTACTTTCTTTGGATGAAAAGAGAAGAGAAAAGGAAAGAAATTGTGGCAAAGAATGGGATTGTTATTAGAGTATTTTTGAGACATCTTGGTATCCAAGGGATAAGAAAGGAACACTGAGCTACCTAATGGGTGTGAGCAAAGACTCTGACACTATTGTTAGGCATTCCAGAACTTGGGCCGAAACCAGCCCAGAGGCTGAGCCATTTGAGGAGAGAAGTTTGTAAACATCTCTGCCAAGGACACATAACCCTTGAGAACTAGCGTGAGAGCCTCTCACTCACTCATTCCTCCCACAGCTGGGCTCCCCAAGGGGAACTTGAGCTAGCTGACAATGATAATTAACATTTGCTATCTCACTGATTGAAATGTATCTTCTTTTTTTTTTTTTTAAGGCACAAATATGCCAGCTACTTTTGGACATTTGGCTGGAGGATATGATGGCCAATATTATGGATATCTTTGGAGTGAAGTATTTTCCGTGGACATGTTTTATAGCTGTTTTAAAAAAGAAGGGATAATGAATCCAGAGGTATTTGTGTGTGTGTGTGTGTGTGTGTGTGTGTGTGTCCTTTTGTTCATTTTGTAGTTGCCCTCTCTCCTTTAACTCTTAGTGTTAAATATTTATGACATACAGATTTGAGAGTAAGAGGTTTGGTAACAGCTTTTAACTTGAAAGTCTTCCATCTTCTCAAATCATCATTATGGTACAGTATACAAGTGATTAACTTTAATTCCATAGGTTAAAAAAAAAAAAACACTGCGTTTTCTTGCTTATTAACATTCCAGTATATTACATAATTAAAAATTCAAAGCTTTGTTTATGCATTTGGGAATTTATAGCTGCTAGTTTTGACATGTACCATACAAGGTTTAGTTTTATAGGTGAGGAAAGAAAGGTAAACTTCTTCCTGGTGTAAATGGTCTCCCAGTGTATTGATATTATTTACACACTTTCTTTGTGCAGTTTCTGTGGGAGGCACCCTTCTGTGGCTGGCATACTCCACCTACTACATAGTTTGTAACCTGAATGCCTTTAGGTAACCTAAGCTGCTTCATTAACCTGAGCCATCCTTCTCATGTACAGTGATGTGACGTCCAGGTGGCTGCCAGCCAAAACTTCCTGTGTTACAACCGCAGTCTCCTTGCTCATTGAAGACTCAGCTGTCACAATATTCCTTTAGATATTTTATAGTGTGTTTTAAAATACTGTTTGATTCATAAATTAGAAGAATGAATTATCAAAATCAAGTTCTCTGTCCTTGTTTCAGTCAACTGATTTTTTTTCTCTGAATTTTTTTGTTTCTGGACTGCATAGCACCTTAAACATGTATATGGGAATACAGTAGTGTAATTTTTGTTATTGTTGCCATTTTGTTTTTGAGACAGGGTCTTGCTCTGTATTCTGACTATCCTTAAAGTTGCTATGTAGCTGAAGCTGGCCTCAAACTCAAGATCCTCCTGCCTCTGTTTCCTGAGTGCTGAGATTACAGGTGCGGACCACCATGCCCAGCCAATCTCTCTTCTTTATTAAGAAAATTGGGCTGGAGATGTAGCTCACTGGTATAGTACTTGCCTAACACTCAGGAGGCTTTGAACTCCATCCCTAACACTGTGAAAGAGAGAGGGAGGGAAAGAGGAAGAAGAAGGAAGGAAATCAAGATTATTGAAAGTACCTCCATCTTTCTTTCTCTATACAGGTTGAGTGCTCCTTTTCCAAAATGCCTGGGACCAGAAATATTTCAGGTTTTGAAGTTACTCAGATTCTAGAGTATCTGCAGACTTTATTAACTGAGCATCCCTAACCTCAAAACTGAAATCCAGAATGTTCCTAACTCCAACATATTTTGAAGTCATGTCTGGAGTTTAGGTTTTAGATTAGGGATATTCATCCTATCCTTCAGAATTCTTCCTGTCATAGAAGTTGTGTCTCCAACTCCAGGCCCTACTTGCTCCTGACCTGGTAACTCCAGTCAGTGTTACTACTAAGTTCTTTTCACAGCCTCAACTTCTGGTGTGTGCAATCGTCTTTGCAAACCTCAGTTTCCTGACCTTACCCATCAGCTGGACTAATGATGGTGTCACCAAATCCAAGGACCCTTTCCCGCAATCCCTTTTTCTTTACTCCCTGTATCTTGTTTTTCCTCTTTTTTTTACAGCCCTTTCTTACTTGCCAGTGCCACCTGTCCTGCACAAGTTCACATGTTCTCTAAGTCTTTCGACCTTCACACATTTATTTATTCTGTTTCCTCCACTTAAAATGTGTGTTCCTTGTTTGTGCCTCTCACAAACCCTAGCATTCTTAAAGATCCCACTAAAAGACCAACTCATTTAGGAAATCTTCACATCATCCATTTGGCGGCTGAGACAGGAGGATCTCAAGTTCAAGGCCAGCCTAGCCTATGTAGCCAGTCCCTATCTTAAAAAAAAAAAAGAAAAAAGGGTCAACAACCAAAAGTGATCTTTCTGTTCTCTGAACATAAGCGTGAACTTGAACATAGGGGAAAGACTATTTTTATACCATAGAATACAAATTTTGATTTGAAAATATGCCTAGAAAAAAAAAACCCACATCAAAATATTGTCAGTGGTTGTCTTTGGGAGGCAAGTTTATGAGTGATCAGCTGTACTTTTTATGGCTCTTTTCCGTATTTTTTTTCATGGTACATAGAGTGTTTTAAAGAGCAAAAGGTAAAGGTAGGGAAAGGTCCAGTCCTGTCACCTTCCTGCCCTTCCTTGGCGAGGCCTCCTGCAGCAGTGTGCACCGCCCTTCTGGGAGCCTCTGCTCCCCACTCTGTGCTTGCACTCTCACTCCTGGGGCCACTTCTCCAGGACCCTGCACGCTTTAGCTGCCAAGGCAGCAGCCTACTTGCTGATCCCAGTGCATCCCACGCTCGCAAGTGCAGCAGAAGAGCCCTGCTGTCATGCTTCTCTGCACTTCTTGTTCTCCAGCCCCACAGCTTGGCAGGCAGCCACGCTGCTCCTCATTTAGACAAAGCAGGGCTGGACTGAGTCGGAGAAAGCAGGACCCCAACAACTTGGAGCCATTTCCTTGTGATGTTAAAAACAGTTTCCAGTTTCACTGCAGTCTGGATGCAGTGGGGCCATGTATTACTATACATCTTGTGCCAGCAGGCTGGTTTTCATCCTGCCTTTTGTACTTCTTTTTTCCTTTCCTTTCAAACGCTATGGAGTTCATATAATTTCTGCCCCTCACTGTCAAGGCCAAGGAGAAGCCCCGTGCCCTCCACCTTCACTCTTCACTGCAGGGCAGGCTAGAACCAGCTAGCTAGGGGGAACGTGTTTTTGTTTGTTTTTCTGTTTTTTGTCTTCAAACAGGTCTTGTGCTATAACTTAGGCTGGCCTCTAACTCAGGATGCTCTTGCCTCAGCCTCCTGAGGGCTGGGATTATAGATCTGCCCCACCACCCAGCTAGAACCAGCATTGTAAATAGCCATTTTATGCCCTCCCATAGTGTACTGTGTGTTTGTTTTTGTGGATTACTTTGTTTGATCTGGTTTTTACAGACAGATTTACTTTAACACCTGGCTTACAGAATTCAGATACTCACTTATTAAAAATTAATGCTTGGGACAATAATCTTATTCCACAAAAAAATCTGAGGTCGTTATTACAACTGTGTTGTGACAAATAAAAAGAGAAATATTGTTCTTCAGACCAGGAAAACCACACACTACCTGGTTTGAGCCATAGTCGTTAGGTGACACTGCAACCGATGGCATTGCCTTCAACTCTGTCAGATGCTGTGCATTTGTGGGGCACAGACAGGATGAAATAGGAATTGTTAGGGCAAACAGTAACACGCAGAGCAGCGTGGACTGAAGTCACAGGAGTCAGAGCCATGGCCAGAAGTTATGCGAACTGTGTCTCCAAGCGTCACACTCCCTCCCTTGTGTGTTGGGATCATTTTGAGCAGATAGCAGGATGGCCCTTCAAAGGACTCAGTGCCTGCTGTGGTTCATCCCCAGGCACCGGAGAGGCTGGCTGGGAGATCACTGCGTTGGACTTTCTTGGTCACACCTCCGGCCCTCCCTTGTAGCCTCTCCCCATCCCGAAAAGCCCTGTTCTCTGCTCTGAGAGCCAGGGCAAATCCTGGCAGGCAGCCTGTAGAAAGTGCTGCTCAATGGGGGAAAAAAACCGGAAGGATCAGATGTAAACTTGAAGCCTTCTGGATTCCAAGTGGTAGAAGATTCTATGGTGCAGTTATTTTCATTCTACTCTGAGACCTCTGTCCAGGAGTTAGAACTGTCCAAGTTTCTATCTTAGCCTAAAAGTTTGCTACCTGTGTTTTTGTGTGTAGATTTTTTATATCATTCTTCATAGGAGGTAGATATCATATTTAACTGTTTGATTAGTATATTAAAAATTACTTGAAGTACTTGTTTCTCGTAGAACATGGAAAAGGTATCTTCTTGTTATACATAACTTTTATGTCCTCGGCTGTTCTCTTGATAATGAAAGAACAGCTTGGGATTAACACTTATCCAGCAAGCTCTAGCGACTCTTTAAAGATATCTTTAAGGTCACCAAACATAATTTCAAAATTCAGCTAATCATAGGGTTGAAAAAATAAGAGCATTTTTACTAGGACCATTTTTTTTTTTATAAGGCAACTTCATTGTGGGAAAATTTCCTAAGAGGTAATAGACCCTGTGGATTCAAAGGCAGTTACACTGTGAAGCCAGAATCCTCCTCCTCCTCTTTTGCATTTAGACAAATTGCTAAGCTTTGTTTCTTCAACCAGTGAAGGAGAAGCAAAGCAAGTGTTGCTTTGGAATGAACCACCAAGAGAATCAAAATAAGTGTAACTCTTATATTTTAGTCTATAATGCCAAAAAGAAGCGGCCAGATCTTGCATGCAATAACATAACAGAGCCATGGAGAACTTTAAACATGGAAAAGACTTGCTGGCAGAGAATTACAATACAGTGCTAAGTATGGCCATGCTCTAGAATCGAGAATCCTAGACCCCTTTCCTGCTACACATTATATAGTGTATGAAGGGAGAACATGGAATTTTTTCTCCTTGACAAATGGATCCAATTCTTTTCTCCACTTACCTGGCCTACCACCCAACAGCTGATTTTTCTTAGGCCTGAACCTTTTCTTGCACCTTTGGGTTTTACCTGATTTAAGGGACAAAGAAAGGAAATGGGGTTGATTTCCTCCTGACTTTCTACATCGTGACTCCCAAGCCGTTATAAGCACTTTTTCTTCCTTTATATTCCTGGACCCCTCCTGAGTTCCCATTAGAGCCCTAGAATCTGCCTTGTTAATTGTTTATTTCTTTTTGTTTTGTTTTGTTTTGAGACATAGTCTCCTACATACCCAGGCTGCCCTTGAACTCTTGGGTCCCCCTGCCTCAGTCTCCCGAGTGCTGGGATTAAAGACTTGATCCACCACACCTGGCGCCTAATTACGCATTTCTTTAATCTACCCTTGCAGGTTATAAAACCCTTGTAAAAGAAGTATTTTATGTATTTTCACTCTTATGTTCCCTCCTCTACTTCAGAGCTGCTTGATTTAATTATTATTTTATATACGTGTATCTCTTTGAACCTAACTGGTAGTTTCCCCCACCCCCTCCACTGCTCTAACCCCCCATTACGCCCTTCTACCCAGGGTACTTTTTTTCTCCTGATCTCTTCCCTCCCATAAATAAAGTTTTATCCTTCTATATTAAACTGGAATTCTGTTTAAAGTTTCCAGAAGGCTTCTTATCAGACAACAGTTCCTCCTGCTCTTTTTGTTTCCCTCTCCCTGACTATCAGCATGAATCTTTCACTCTCTCCTTCCCTTGTTGTCAAGTGAATTTTCTTTCCACCCACAATCTCCCCACCCTTCTAAAAAGGAGGAAAGGTTTCAAAGTACAGTCTTAAAGCAGACTGGTGCCGGGTGTGGTGGCTTACATCTATAATCCCAGCTATGTGGGAGGCATAGATAGGAAGATCAAGGTCCAAGACTGACCTCAGGCAGAAAATGAAAATAACTAAAGCAAAACAATGGCTCAATTGGTAGAGCACCAAGTGTGAGGCTCTGAGTTCAAACCCCAGTACTGCCAAAAAAAAAAAAAAACAGAAGCAGGCTGATGAGTTGTTAGGTACTTGGTCAGGCTCTATCTTCCCTGATGCCTGGTGTCAGAGGGAGCCAGGTCCTGCTCTGCTTCCCAGGGTTGTTGGGTTGAAAGGCTGCAGGAGCCCACATGGGCTGCGTCAGGGATGGCTGAGCTAGCAGGAAGCCCAGTGTTTCCCACTTACATGTGTTCGTTACTGACAGGTGAAGAGCTTCCTTCATTTGGATAATTACAATTGCTGTAAAATACTGCTGCAAAGGTTCATGTTCTTGGATAAAATGAATGCCTTGTCTCCCCTACTTAATACTCCTTCTGAATTACTCTATTTCACTAATAATGGAGGTGAAGTATCTTAAGCTTTGCTCTAGCCTTCTTAAGAGACAGAACTAATTTTAAGGAAATGTCAAACAAGGAATGCATTTATCTCCCTGGACATAGTGAGTAAGTGGGAGAGGAAAGGAAAAAAAAGGAAGGAGTGAAGTTTAGTGAATTCCTCCATATACCAGGTATTATTCTAGGGAGCAAGCAAGCACCGAAATAGCCTATCACCTTGGAACAGTGGGGTAGGCAAATTCACATTTGTAGATAAGGAAACCAAGGCCCAAGATCCTTGGCTGAGGATCGAGCCAAGACTTGTATCTGGGCCAGTATCCAGAGCTCCTGGTTTTGTTTTCAATATCATCAGTGTTGCTAGGTGTTATGGTTCATGCCTGTAATCCCAGCTACTAGGGAGGCAGAGGCAGAAGGATTGAAAATTCAAGGCCAGCCAAGCAAAGTTAAGCAAGACCCTATCTCAAAAGAAAAAGAAAAAGAGACTGGGAGCGTAGCTTAGCTCAGAGAGGTACTGTGGTGGCTTCGATCTCCAGTACACAAGGAAAAAAAAAAAAACGGAGGGAAGGAGAGAAGTATTCAGTGTTACAGAAGCCTTACCCAGTTGCTAACAGATGCATGCTAATCTTTCTGGATTCAAAACTACAGAGGCGACTGACACCTACTTCCCTTCATAGAAAAGCTAGGAAGAGTTCTGGCTATGTGCAGATGCCATGTGCGATCCTCCCAAAGAATACTGACAGCATGAAAAACGTCAGTCTTAGAGCCACTCTCCCTCCCAGTCTTGCAGTCGGTGTTTCCTTATTGTGTAAACACAGTTGACGCGTAGCCTGAGACGCACAGTCCTTCCGCCTGTGGGCACGTTCTCTCACCCAGAGCCTGGTACCCTCCTCAAACTCCAATCTTCACTTTTTAACTCCTTTTGCTCTTACCAAAAGCAAGATCCTGTTACCAAAATGACTCTTAAACTTCTCAAAACTTCATTGCAGAGGAAATGAAACAATTAGAAAGGCCATTGCTCTGTAATTCAGGAAATTGAATCAGCTTGTTTGGAGGCAGAAGCAGAGGAAGACTTAGCTGTCCTGAGCTGCATGTGAGACTGAACAGTGCCCTGCCCTGAAATGACTGCCAGCCAGAGGAGGCCTGAGCGGTGTCTTCATAGCTCCGCAGAGCTCCTCAAGTGCTTGCTTTGCTTTGCTATCTAAACGTACAGTTCTCTATGCAAAAAGAGAATCATTTGTCAGATTTGGGGTGATGTTTTAAAATCTTTCACTTAAACGTTCATTCACATTCCTATAATATTTATGGAATTAAATGCGTCTTTTTAATAAATAAAGGATATAAGATATACAAAGCTTGAGCATGAAAACTTTCTGCAAATAAATATCAACCATTGCCAAGCATGCTGGTACACTCCTGTAATCCTAGCACTGAAGAGTCTGAGGCAGGAGGATCAGGGTTTGAGGCCATCCTTGCCTTCATAATGAGACCCTGTCTCAAAACATGGAGAATAAAAGTAATTGAGGTCGGTCGGGCAATGGATATGACAGTTGATGATACCATTGTACATTGCACTATACCACCCGAACATAGTTGAAATGTCCCTTGCTAAATGGTTTAAAATATTTTTATAATTCTTCAGATAAATTTAACTCATATTTGCTGTGTTCTTCCTGTATTTCTATACCCAGAGCACAGTCTTTCCTTGCTCCACCTGTTAGTTTGAAACACTGGTCAAATTGAGACAGCGTGAGCAGTGAAAGAGAGGGAAGGGGAGGTAAGTGTGGCTGGACTCAGAGCTCTGCTGTGCTCCTCCTTAGAATAGTGACGTGGACAAGAGCGAGTCTGGGTTGCTGTTGGAACAGGAACATCACTGGGGACTGTGTAAGAAATGATGTCATTTTGGGTGTTTTTCCTAAAGCAAATTAAATCTAGCTCCAAATCCTCAGCACCAACGTTCTCACGAAGCCCATTATCAAAGGTGACAGACCCTCTCTTTTTAAGAAACTTGTAAATAAGGCATCAGGATTACTGTGTGCCTCAGTAGTGTTGAATTAGAACACTTGCAAGGGTTCCTAAACATCGTCACGCTCCAGGCCCAGGACTTTCCGACATGGCAGCTCAAGAACTGAATCATGAACGTAAAAGACATAGCGGGCAGTAAGGACTTAGAGAACAGACATCTCAGTTTTTATATTTTACATGTTGAAATGATGACATTGTGGATACAGCAGGGTTTTTGGCTTTAGTATTGAGATAGGATCTCACTGTGTTGCTCAGTCAGCCTGGTCTCCAACTTGTGGATTCAAGTCATCCTCCTGCCTCAGCTTCCCAAGTAGCTGGGACTACAGGCATATGCCACCATGCCCTATAATGGTGTAAATAAAATATGCTATTAAAATTAATTTCACTTATTTGATTTTTAACTGTTTAAAATGTTAATAGAAAATTCAAAGTTATGTATCATCTCATCTTTCTATTGTATAGTGCAGCCCTTGGTTATCAGAAGGTAACTTTTTTTGTCTGTTTGCTCCTAACTAGACAGTGCAGACCGTGGAGTCAGATGTTAGCCTAAACGTGATTACTAGCTGCAAGTGATTTCTGTTCATAACCAAAAAGCAACCCCAAAAGTTTTGATTTCACAGCCCAGTAGAGCATTAAATAGTTTTGCATCTAACTTGGTAGGTTTTAGTCTTGTTTTATATCCCTTTATAGTTTAACTCATCTCTGTTTTAAGTCAAAAGCAGGATTACCTGGTCTCTGGCAATCCTCTATGTCTTCTTGTACTCAAAAGTGATTAGTCCTATTGATCAAATCATATAATGGGTATAAACTTAAGTGGCGCTCTGTGAACTGTTTATCCTCTGCGTGTTTGCAGTATGATTCATTGAACTGTCTCGCTTTGCTTCCCTGTAAGGTCAGCAAAAGGGAACTAAAAATACTGAATAATGAAGATACTGAGTACTAATGTTTTCTTTCACTTTATCTGCTCCTGTGTTTATGTAAATAAAGAGAGAACTGTGATATGTTAAAATTGCAGCCCTCCATCCCCAAAGGCAACAGCAAAGATCCTCATTCCCAGTGCTGACCCCTCAGAAATGCCTTAACCTGCACTGGGGCACGGGGCATTCTTCCTACCCACGCCCAGAAAAAGAGGGTTGGTTTTGTTTTGATTTGGTTTTTACGACCCCTCATAAAAACAGCAGAAGCTGCTTGACAGTGGGTGGCTGTGCTACTGCTTCCAGGTACATAGAGCCCCTGTCTGTAGTTTTGTGGAACACTTGCTCTGCTAACCCTGTTGAAATTGCACTTCAGATGGGGTCACAAGTGGAAGCGTGTGATGTATCCCATCAGCTATTTTTTGTCTGTCTGTTTGCCCATTTGTCAACTCACTACTGAGAATCTAAGGAGACACAACAGTAATACAGGACAGTGTAGAAAACCCAAGGTTTAAGCTCCAAATAAATGGATACTACAGGTCTGTAGTGCTGGCAGAAGGGAACTTGTAGACCCAAGCCCACGTCCCTTTCTTCCCCCTCACCCCTTTCTGTCCTGCGCTTAGAGGTTTGGAGAATTGCTGTGACCATGAGTTATTAGGCACGATGTTTTGTTTTATTAGGTTGGAATGAAATACAGAAACCTAATCCTGAAACCTGGGGGATCTCTGGACGGCATGGACATGCTCCAGAATTTCTTGAAACGCGAGCCAAACCAAAAAGCGTTCCTAATGAGTCGAGGCCTGCACGCTCCGTAAACTGGGGATCTTTGGCTGTGGTCCACGTCTGGAGGACGAGCCCACCACACCAGGCGGGACCCACCTGGAAACCGAAGCGAACTTTGCAAATGAAAACTTAGATTTCTATTGACTTGCTTTTGCTTTTTAATTTAAAAATTATACAGATGTAAATGGAATTATAAATACTGTGACCTAAGAAAAGATCCACTAGAAGATAATTGTACTATAAAATTTCATAAAAATTAATTTGATTTCTTTTGATAAAAGTTTCATATGAATGTAATTTGATTTTTTACTGTTGTAATCTAGATAATGTAATGTAAGAGGGCTAAGATTTTTTAAATTGAATCATATACATGATATAATTTGATCCTTCTTAGATCTTGAAATTTTGTACTTGAGATTTCTGGATCAATAAGTGGATCATCATGTTCTTCTGGCACAGATTTTCTTGGAGCTGTACATCAACTTTGACCCTCTCTGTCTCATAGTTAGGTGTGACCTTGCCTGTGCCTGCATACCTCAAGGCCAGGAGAATATGCCTCAGTAAAGCATTTAGCTTTGTAAACCAGGCCACGTGATTCTTATCTTGAATTACATTTCTCCATCTGGGTTTGTTTTTCTCTCTGAAGTCCAGCTCGAGAGCATCAGAAACTTTTTAGCTTTAACTGAACTGGCTTAATGTACATTGTCCGTGCTGTATCTTACATTCGAGGCTCAATTCCAGTTCAGCAGGCAAGATTGTCAGTTTTCTGGTAGAGCTGTCTACAAGAACAGTAAAGTGAGTCCGGGCAGCTGTTTTGATTTTCGCGTTTCTAGTAAAGGATAGTGACTCCACCTCCCTGACTGTCCACCTCCCCCAGAGGAGCGGGTGGACACATCACAGTGGCTGTTCAGAGCGCCCTGGGAAGACAGCTGACCCCACATACAGCATTGAGTATAATAGGAGTGCTCAGGAAGAGCGTTTGAGGACAGCGGCTCTGAAGTGTGATGTGTGCTAACCTCAGCCCTGGGGACGGGCTCTTCAGTAGGCTGTTTTGTGTGATGATTTTTATTTTAAGTGAACCTTTGGATCTCTTTACTGTGGGCCTGAATTCCAATTGAGCAGCACAGCTGTGAGCTCACAGTACTTGTTTTTCCTCTAGGAGTCTACTCAGTAAGGAAACCTTGGTTTCTAGGAGAGTAAAAAAGAAAACGTCTTGCAATTGTTCCCAATACACACCTGAGGAATGACTGCAGGTCAGGGACAAAATTAGAACCTCTTTGTTCTCTAGTCCAAATGGATCTTGTGTTACATTTTTTAAAAATTACTGTGTTCCATAATAAAGTTATAGACAACAGGGGAAATCAAGAGCTATAGCACAAGGAAATTTTTTTTTTTTCTTTTGTGGTGCTGGGGATAAAACCCAGGGCCTCCTCACACATGCTAGGTGAGTGCTACTTACCCCACAAGCTGTTTTTATGGTAGTCTTAGCAACCTCTGGAAGTTTTCTCATAGCTTCCCCCCACCCCCAGACTCTTGTTTTCCACTTTCAGGCAAGAAACTACTCCCTTCAGCTTTTTCCATCGCCCAGGATGTCTCCTTCACAATACCTTTAGTTTAAATTGCATTTCACATGGAAAAGCTGATAAATGCTGTGGAAAACACTTACACAGTAAAGTTAGATTATTATCCATGAGAATGAGCTCACATTTCTTTCAGACTTTAATGTTAAATTCTAACACAGGAAAACATGCTGGTGTTCTTTTGTTGTTGTTTTAGGTCTTCCTGTAATATCTAAACTCTACCAAAGAACAGCAAACAGCAAAATCAAATACATTTTAAAAATTCACCATTATGATTCAAAAGGAAGGACTTCCTTTTTAAAGCCTTCTTCAGTGGGGCCACCCATTGGTTTGTCCCACCCCCATCAAAGCATGGAGTGTCACTGAGGTGCCCTGAATGGAAGATAACATAAAGACTGTGATTGGGCACACTCACACTTCAGACCGATGGGCTGAGCCATACATAATGAAGTGTTGATTGCTGATTGAGGATATTTCAGATTCTTTTCAGACACCGTTATGTTGCTAAGGGCAAGTTCTTAAAATATGCCAAAATATAGTGCATACAGTTCCTAAAGGTTTGATTTTAAGATGCTGCAGAGAATGGAAAGGAAGGTCTTGATGTCATACCTTCTAAAATGGACTTTCCCTCTGGAATAAAATTGCATGATACATGGATACCTGAAATGGTCTTGAAGAGTTACCACCCGAGCTATTTATGCCTGAGTCTTGCCTTTCTAAAGCTAATAGAATGAAATACCTGTCATTCTTTAGACAGTGAACTGCTTTGTACAGAAGGCTAAAATCAAGAAAGCAGTTCTTCAAAGAAAAATTACTGATATGATTTTTGTACTTGTAAATGTCTTCACTTGTAGGGAATGACTTAATTTTCTACTTTACCACTTTGCCTTTAGCTTTTGTGTGTGAATTAAAGTTCTGTGGAGATCTTGCCTTCCCACTGGATCAACTGGTTTGCATATGACTGTTTTGGGGGTTTTGTTTCATTGGGGTTTTTTTCTGTCATACACAAAAAGAATTTTCCATGCAAGGAAATTGCATCAAGACAGTGTCTTAGTTTGGACTGCTATAACAAAATACCTACCATAGACTAAGTGACCTCAGAAACAGACATACAGCTGATCATGGTGATACATGAATATAGTCTTAGCACTTGGGAGGCTGAGGCAGGAGGAGCCATGCCAGCCTGGGCTACCTAGCTAAACCTGGTTCAGACTCACACATACACACACACACTGACAACCCACATACGTCTCACGGTCTGGAAGCTGGGAAGTCCCATACTCTTGGTGCTGGTAAATTTAATCCTTGGTGAGGCCCCTTGGTTTGCAAGCAGTCCTGTGGTGTCTTCTGAGAACACGAATTCCATCTTCAGGGAATTGGTCATTATCTAAACCTAATTACCCCAAAGGCCCCACCTCCTAATGCCATCACAGTGAGGGTTAGGGCTTCCATATGTGAATATGGGAGGGGACACAAATACTCAGTCAATAGCAAATTCTAATCCCTCAAATTGGATATGGTTAACAGCTCCTAGATGTTAAAAGAGTAGCTCATCTAATAGATTTAGTGACTAAAGTGGCTTTCTTCTCTCAATACAATGTTATTAAACTTATTGTGACCCCCATCTGAAATTCGATAGCTCCTTGAAATTAACTATTCCTTCTCATAAATGTTTGGTGAGAATAAATGCAAAAAAGACACTATAAATTTTCATTTTCTTTGAGAAACAATGTCCAAAATTTATTATTTCAGTCATCTTTAATGGAGAAATTTCCACTGAAAACAATGGAAGTGGTTATCTGGTACAAACAGATCAAGGCAAGGGATAAATGTTATAAATTCTAAAAACTAGACCAAAATAGCCCTTTTGAACATACAGTATAATATTATAGGTAGAGATTTTGTTTAAAAAATTGAGTATTTGTGGTAATGAATACAACTCACACTCATCAATTAAGTGATTTTTAAGTTTTTATATGGTTAAATTCACCTTGGAGTTCCCTTTCTGCAGAAAACACAGGTTTGACACAGCTAGTCCACTCTTTGTACAAGAAAAGGCAAGGAATGACATGAGATCAGCTCCATTGTTCTGTTCTCAGGAACCGGCAAGTTTTCTGACTGCTTACTTTCTAGAGCTCAGGGAGTGCACCTAAACTTTTTATTCCCATGATAAAATGTGTAGCTTGTCACTAAAGAAGCTGTGGGCCTAAGGATAGTTTAAAGAAATAGTGTTTACTGAGTCCAACAAGACATGACGTCTCTATTGACATAATGACACTTTTGTGCCAAAGATGGAGGACATGACTAGATAATAGCCAGGTGGGTTCCTAGCTGTTGGAATATAAATTCACATTAAGCTGAAGAAATTTCATGTTTTTTGGCTGAAAATACAAGAAATTCCACTAACAGTTATTTAATTTATAGATAGGTGGAATGATCACACATGATGATGTTATTAAGATTTTAAATCAGTCTAGTCTCAAGATAAAATGAAGTCAGAGCCAGACATGGTGGCATGTGCCTGTAATCACAGCACTCAACTCAAGAGGCTAAGGTAGGGAAATCATGAGTTCAAGGCCACTCTGGGCTACATAGACACACACACACACCCTCAGGGGAAAAAAGAAGGGAAAGATCAGGCATATTCCATTGCCAGGTAAAAGGTGGCTGGTTAGTGGTACTTATGAGAGAAGACTTAAGAGTTTTATTTGACAAAATTTCAATAGAAGCTCACAGTACAGTACACCTGAGGAGGGGAAGGAGCAGGGAGCACAAAAGCCTTTGACAAATGTACTGGTCAAAGTTTAGTCTAGATGAAAAGAATAAACCCTCTGGACTCCTGTGGCAAAATCAATCACAGCAGAACACTGTGTTCCATTCTGTGTGTTGCATTGTAAGCAGACTGGCCAAGTATTGCAGTGTTTGGAGGAGCAGGGACAAGATGGTGATGACTTTGAAAATACTTATCCAGAGAGACACATAACAGAATTAGAGAAGTTCACTCTGGATTGAATTCAGAAGTACAAATCATCATTTTCAAATATTTGCAAGATAGGGGAGAGAGATCTGCTAATTTTTCACAGCTTCCAAGTCAGAGCTTAGATACGGTTAGAAAATAGGAGGTTTAGTTCAGTGTGAGGAAGCAATTTCTAGTCACTTGCTGGTGGAGGTATGGCTTAAGCAATAGAGCATCTGCTTAGCAAGTGTAAAGCCCTGAGTTCAAGTCCCTGCACTGCCAAAAAAAAAAGCTGTGGAAGGACTGGGGGTGTAGTTCAGTGGTAGAGCACTTACTTGCCTAGCATGTTAGAGGACCTGGGTGAACCCCAACACCATAAAAATAAATAAGCAAACAAATGTTGATTTAAAGCACACTGTGCTGCTGCTAATGATTGTGCATAAATAGTCTGCAGCTGCCAGGAGTGCTACAGAGGCGATCCCTCCCTTGAAGCACCTCGAAGCAACAGGTCAGCTTCCAAGGCTCCTTCCGTGAAGATCATCAAGAAAACGTCACTCAGGTGAAACATTCATGTGGTAGGTCTTAGAAAAGGCATTTCATGTCCCTGCTACCTCCTACTGTTTACAAAGTTTACTGTAAACTTTGGAGTGTACTCATCTGGAACCAGCCAGTGCTGGTCCAGAGGTTCTCACTCTTAGGGGTCATTTAGTGTGACAGTTACTTTTGATTGTCCATTTAATTGGATTGAGCAGGACTAGGGGATTATAAAGTACAACTGTGTGTCTGCAAGGCCATTCCCAGAGATGATTAACTAATGGGGATAAACCTGACTTGATTGTTAGTGGCATCGCTCAATAGCCTGGGGACCCAGGTGGAATGAAAGCAGAAGGAGGAGGAAGAAGCTCCAGAGCACAGGCACTGTCTTGCTCTGCTTCCTGGCCGCCAAGATGTGAGCTGCTTTCCCACCATGGTGGACTAAAAACCTTGAGCCAAAATAAATCTTTCCTCCATTAACTTGTTTCAGATATTTGGTCACAGCAAAGAGAAAGTCTAACCTCTGGGAACTCAGGATGGGAGGCTAACATTTATACATGATCACAATAAGGTCGAAAGCACTCATGGAATAAAATGAGAATTCATGTTCTTTTCTTACAGAATTTACCTTGCCCTCTGTCCATCCACCCATTGCTGTCTTCACACATAATACAGAGGCAAAAATGATTCAAACAACCAGGATTATCATGCACACCCCCATATATTGTGATCTTGAGTCATTGTTTTTGTCCCATCCTCCACAGTCTTGCATTGTCCTCAACAATTAGTGAATAAAGTATTTGTTAACAGACTCTTTAAAATTACCTTTGCTATAAGCATGCATTTCTCTACAATAATTGCAAAAATATTTAACTGTGAATCTAAAACTACATAGGACAGAGGATTGTGATTCAATGGAAGAACACTTTCCTAGCATGTGTGATCCTGGGTTCAAATCCCCAGCAGTGAAAAAAAAATCAATGAAATATAAAACGATACCAATAAGTTCTTTTTATTCCCACCAGGAGCAGATTTCTGCATGAAAGGGCCCTTTTCTTTACTATACTAAAAGTTTCTACATAAGGTAAATGAAAGAAAAAACAAGGTATGGAAAATGTTCCTGAAGATTTCTCCATTCTTCTTTGTATGTATTCTAAACCTAAGATTATTTTTCCCAGTGCTGGGGATCGAACCCAGGGCCTCACACATACTAAGCAAGTGTTCTTCCACAGAGCTACATCCTAACCTCTAAATTTAGGAATTTCTCAGTCTAGAATCTCTGATTTGCTTGAGGGTGTAAGAAAGGGGCAGAGAGGTCAGAAGTCCCATGACTGCCTTGAAATCGTATTAAATTTTTTATGTGCATGAATTATATACATTTTTCTGGGGAAAGGTCCAGGAAAAAAACTATTAAACAATTTGCTTTCATACTTTTGTTTTTGCATTCAGTTCAAAGACTATAAAGAACCCATTGTATCAGGCATTATGCCTAGCCCTGAGGTTACAAAAATGACAACACTAAACTCTTGTTCACAGTGTAGTGGAAAAGGCAAACAAGTTCATAATACATTGAGATAAATTGTAGTAGAAAGATACATGTATCGAGGGGGTGGGGGAGAGAAGGAGGGGGCGGAGTGGGTGTTAAGGGAGGGGGTGGGGGCAGGGGGGAGAAATGACCCAAGCATTGTATGCACCTATGAATAATAAAAAAATAAAAATTAAAAAAAACATGTAAAAATCTTTCTGTTTTCCACCAAACCCTAGTTGACTGCGCTGCATAGTAAGTCATTGTGTCTCAAAATTTCATATGGTTACCATGCCACCTGCCACCACAGCTTTTTCTTTTTAACAAAATGATTTTTTTTTTCTTTTCAGCATTTCAGTAGTCAGACTGAATGGTGTTCTTCCATCTCTGTTATACCAAGCAGTCTCTCAGCCCCTATGGATAAACAGCTCACAAATGTTCACTTTAACCATTTTTCTATCAAAGGATTATAAATCAATAGCCATTAGAGGTATATGGAGTGAGGTTTTTCTCTTGCTCCTGATATTACTGAACCTAACTGGGCCTAACTGGGGGCGATGAGAGATGCAGAAAAGACACAGGGTAGACAGAAAGTTGGGGCCAGGTGTGTTGGGTGCTTGGGTGGAGACACACAACTGCCTCATTGTTTCTTATCTCTATTAATCTCTTCTCTTTACTCTGCTTCTTTTCTCTATCTTTTCTTTAAGACCTTACTCCTTTACAGTTCTTTAAAACCTTGCTTCTAAAAGTCTTCTATTCTTTAAAGTCTCTTTCCTTAGACTCGCTCTGTCCCATGTTTCCTCTTAGCTGTTCTTTAGCATAATCTCTCTTAAAGTCTTTGCCCTCAGACTTCCTCTGTCCCATGTTCTCTTAGCTTTTCTTTAGCTTAGCTTTTCTAAAGCCTGTGTATAAAGTTCTCTGTGCAGAATTGCACTGTCCCATGATCTTTCTTTAGCTTCAGCAATTCCCCTTCAGCAATCCTCCCTTCAGCAATTCTCCCTCCAGCAATTTCCCTTCAGCAATCCATTTCCCTTCAGCAAAAAAGCCCTCATCAAAAAGCTTCCCTCCATCCAAAAGCCTCCCATCATCAAAAAACCTTGCTTCCTCCTTCAGCAAGTCTTTTATATCCAGTGGTAAACAAGGAGGTAGAGCAATGGTTCTTGGGGAAAGATGTGACATTGTAACAAGAGGAACCTGTGTTCCTGCTTCTAAACATCTTAGGGAAAGCAGCTAAGTTGCAGCTTGCCTTCTCACTCTCTTCTGTGGCTGGGGCTGTGCCAAATCCCAGCCTACATGTTATTTGACATAAACATCTTAGGAAAAGCAGCTGCTCTGCATCTTATGTCCTCATAGGCTTCTCCTATTCTGTTCTCCACGGGTATGATGTAAGAT